ATTCTAAACAATGTTTCTAAAGTCTAAACGCTCTAAAAGAGAACAGACTGTTATGATTTCAGCTCTCTGCCACAGTTGCACTCTGCGTTCTCAGCCACGCCCACTTCTCCGCTGCAGAATGAAGATTGACAGAGGAGGGAGGAGAAGCTGCAGGAGGAAGTTTATTCTGCAGTTTGGGCTGCACACAGGTGCAGCCGGTGCTAAATAATTTAAAATATTATATTATAAATAAAAATTCCATGCAGATTGTGCAGCTCATCCATCAATCATATACATGTGTCAATGTGTGTCATGTCCAATTTTATTGTGACAAATCGCGATGGAGCAAGTCCACAAAAAACGAACCGCGAAGTAGCGTGGGACTACTGTACTGTCTACGATGCACAAACTGTGAAATATTGATGCACTTTCCATTTTGACAGGGGACTCTGCATCTGTCGACACCAGAAACGATGACCAGGTAAAGGTTTCTACATACATTTCATGTGATATGCAAAGTGGTGTGCCTCTTGTGGCAACTGGATGATGACAGGACTCTCAGATGCAAAATTTGCATACCGTGTTAGCATTAGTGAGTGTACTGTTAGGAGCAATGCCCTGGGGCTGTTTAGGAAGTTGTGTTTGTGTTTTTATACTGATCACATTCAAAAAAGCTCCAGTTACAGTTGTACCCTGACATGTCAGACAGATGACCTTTCTCTTGTCTCCTAACAGCGTAAAGAGGATGTCATGTACGCCTCTATTAACCACAGCAATATCAAAGGAACAAGAGCTACAGCCAGCACTGATGACAACTGTGACTATGCAATCGTTAACATCCCAAAACAAGTTCAGCCAGATGCAGAATCTGAAGGCTCCTCTAAAGAAGAATGTGCAGACGATTATGTGCTCATGGGGTAAAATGATGCATTTTGTGAAGGAAAAACTTGCAAGGGAACTCTTGGGTTTGCGAATCAAGATAAAAACTTGATGACAAAAACAGACAAACTGCACAGAAAAAAGCAACAAGGACTAGTTGTTTGAATTTTAACCTCAATATGTGATATTTCTTCTTTGAGGGAACTTTAAACCCAAAAGAAGAAAACAGGTTGATCCATTTGCAGAAGAACTTTGGACTTTGACCTCAAAGACATGATGATCATTTGTCTGGAAGAAGTACTGTAAGGCCAATAAAACTGGACCTTGGGTTTGGACTTGAAGGAGCAAAGTGACAGATCTGAGCATCTTCAAGAAAAGTAACTTCTCCACATCATCAAATGGAGCTGCTTTATACATTCCACTGAGCTGAACTAAATTAATGAAATATTAAAACCCATAGTCAGAGAAAATAAAAGAAAACAACAATTGTACAAATTTTGCAGGGTTTTGTTTATAGAAAAAAGTCAGTGTGACATTTCCTTTGGTAAAAAATAATAATAATGCAAACCACTCTTCTTTTCAAACTATTCTTAGTTTTTCTGTTTGTTTTTTAGGGGTGGGGGGGGTGCAATAGTTCAGATTTTTGAAGTGGGCTTCAGTAGAGTAGTTATAAACTGAATATCTTACCTGCTGGTAACATACTGTATCTTTGAACGACCTCAGTTTGGAGAAACGGTTCAATTCTGATGGGGCTCATGAGGCAGCAGCTAAGCTGAGCAGGGCTAAGACCAAAGTGGGTTGCTGCAACTGTAGTATCTGAATTCATTTGTATTTCATGCAGACATAAACATATAAACCATAAAAGTATTGTTATTTTGTACTGCACAGTTATTTACATGAAACTCTATTATCTTGAAATACAAACAGCAGCAGTAGCAGCTAACTGTTGCACTTCTCGTGCAAAGGGGCGCTGCATGCAGATATATCATATTTCTGCTCAAGTCATTGTGTAATGCAAAATTAACAGCAACAAGAAGGTTTATAAAACAGTGTTTGTGTGACTCACTATGAGATTTTTCTTTTTGTTTTTACACATACAATAATTCGGTCAAGCCTTCAACTCATCAGTCAAAGCTTAACTTTAGTTCCCCTAAATGAAGTAGTTTAAATAACTATCTACAAGTAAGATAAAATAGTTTGTTTTCCACTGGACCCTGACTCAAAGACCTGACTGATGTAATGAAGGACAACAGTGTTGTTTGTTGTCTTGTTGTTTGTTGCTCGTTTTAACAACTTCAGATAACGATCATCTTTGTCTGCTGTCACCGTGAGGCTGTTAAAACGAGCTTTTCTTCACCCTTATTGTTTCACGACCTTGAGCTGCATCAACCAGCACCTTACTGACAACTTTACCAACGCCCAAATCTAAACGTCAAATAGATTACATTAAAAAGTGCAGAGGTTCGAGAAGGCGAGACTGGGATCAGAAGGTCACCAGTTCAACCCTCCAGGAAACATCAAAATGTGGGTGGGAAAGTTGAAACACCCACACCTGCCTCCACCCTCATTTGCCCTACTCTGGGCCCATGAGCAAGGCCCCATCATCTGCTCCCCCGGGTGCAGTAGATGGGAGCTCTCTGCTTCACACAAAAGTCAAGATTTTTGGAGAAATGTTTAAAGCACATATTTTATTTTATTTCTGCTCATTTGCAGCTTAGAGCTCCTGAAAACTACTAAATTCCCTCATTTCAAGAAATGTACACATTTTAGGCTTAAACTCATGTGTTTGTTATTTTTATTTTTGTATTTATGTGGGTGTGAATGCAGTTTTAGTTTATCCTTGCATTGTAATTTATATGATTGACTGAATGCATGTAACATAAAATAACTTACTTTGTTGTTGTTTTTGTCTTCATTTTGTTTATTTTTTTTAATAGTTATTGTCAATTAAAAGCTTTCAGACGAGCAACTGTGGTTTTCTTGTATATATGATTCAGCTCTAAGTCTGGGGGAGTGGGGGAGTGGTGGCACAGAAGTTAGAAGATGGGTTTGTGATCGGAAAGTGGCAGGTTCAACTCCCAGTACCGTCAACATCAAAATGTGGGTGGAAAAGGTGGAACACCCACACCTGCCTCCACCCTCATTCGCCCCACCCTGGGCCCCTGAGCAAGGCCCCCAACCCCCACCATCCGCTCCCCAAAACAGGTCTCTTGAAAAAAATGAGTTCTCGTGGCTCAATGAGACTACCTGTATAAATAAAGGGTATAAATACAATTTTAAAAAAGTCAGAAAATTTTGAGAATCTGTCACATATCAAAATAATAGTTTGTTTTAGGGAAAGATTTCTGAAATTGCTTTCACAATTCTGCTGGGGGACTTCAGTGCCCACGTGGGTAACGACAGTGTGACCTGGAGGGGCGTGACCTGGAGGGGCGTGACCTGAAGGGGCGTGACCTGAAGGGGCGTGACTGGGAGGAACGGCCTCTCTGAGCTGAACCTGAGAGGTGTTCTGTTGTTGGACAAACTTCAAAGACAACTTTGGTCTCTTCATTCAGATGAATATTCATGTGTTATGGTATAGAACTCCCTGTAACTAACAGATTCTACTTCAGTGTCTGATTTTGATTGTTAAAGGGTGAATATATTAATTAAGTTGTTGTTGGTCAGTGAACTGACCAGCTGGTGCCCCACTTTAACGAGAGCTAAATAAATAAAAACAAATGTAGTGGAGTTGAGATGGAAAAGGTGTCACCCTTCTTCCTCCATCTCACCCTTCGTTATTGCTGCAAGTTTCTACCCTGAGGCTGTTAGACTCATGATCCCTAATCAGGATTATCACTGTGAAAATCACTGTGAAAAAAATCACTGTTATGCCACTTGATTGTTGATCTGTGCTGCTGACTATCCATGCTGCTGATCTCATGCTGCTGATCTGTTTCATGTTGCTGTGTTCATTCGTCCTCATCTGCTCACACAGACTCATGTTCGTGCTGCTGTTGTTGGGCGTATTTTTTCATACTAGTAGTGCTTAGTATATTCTTAGTTTAGTGTAAGGCAGCACGGTGGTGCAACTGGTAGAGCTGCTGCCTCTCAGTGAGCAGGTCCTTGGTTCAAACCCCGGTCCAGGGGCCTTTCTGGGTGGAGTTTGCATGTTCTCTCCGTGCATGCGTGGGTTTTCTCCGGGTACTCCGGTTTCCTCCCACAGTCCAAAAACATGCATGTTAGGCTGACTGGTAACTCTAAATTGTCCCTAGGTGTGAGTGAGAGAGTGAATGTTTGTTTGTCTCGTTTGTCTCTATGTGGCCCTGTGATGGACTTGTGACCTGTCCAAGGTGTACCCCGCCCCTCGCACAGTGATTGCTGGACATGGGCACCAGCGACCCCCGTGACCCAAAATGGAATAAGCGGGTAAAGAAAATGGATGGATGGATGGATGGATAGTTTAGTGTATTTCTTAGTTCATGGCTCGGATCTTACTACTGTTTTGCTTTACAATTTGTATTTTTGTTGGATGTAACTGGGACCCTGTGTACATAGTTTCGTTCCGCCTCGTGTACCACATGTGAAGTGAACGACAGTAAAAACACCTTGACCTTGACCTTGAGAACTGAAAGAACAATGATCCTTCATAGCACTCTCAGTAAAATGCTCATTTTACATTTTGTTTTATTTTTTGTAATAAGTATTTTTCCTGAGCGCCTCATGTCCTGCCTGCATTTTTAGGTTTCATCCACCATCAGACTTGTCAACAAGGATTTGGTGCTCTGTAGTCATTTTTTAAAGACTTGCAAATACATTTAAAGTTTTCAAACATGCCTCAGCAAAATGATGGAGCTTTGTTGTTAAAGGCCAACTTAAGAAACAGAAAATTTGCATGATCTGAAAAGTTTTAAATGAACTGAAAAGTAATTAACAACAGATCACAATTTATTATTTCACCTTTAACTGGCCAGAAACAGATGAAGACTGATCATTGTGTTCATGGTTGCAGATTACTCCTGCTTTAAGAACAGCCTATATAATTACACGTCATTTACTAATCTCATATAGATAACTCTGTGGATAAATACATCAAGTTCACACGAGAAGATGAAAAAAATGGCAAGTTGGCTTTCTTGGACTGTGAGGTCTCAGTCTCTGATAGAGGACATTTGCAAACTGAGGTGTACCGCAAACCCACCCACACAGACCAGTATTTGCAGTTTGACTCCCATCACCCTTTGGAGCACAAGTTAGGAGTCATCAGGACTCTGTATCACAGAGCAGACAGCATCCCCACTAGCTCAGGAGCCAGGCAGAAGGAGAAATCCCACACAAGACAGGCTCTAGAGCAATGTGGATATCCTAACTGGGCCTTCCTGAAAGCAGAGAAGAAACCCAAACAGGACTCCAGTCAGCCAACAGGTGAAAAGGAGGAACCCAGACCCAGACCAGTGGTCATTCCATATGTTGAGGGAGTATCAGAGAAACTGAGACGTTTATTTTCTAAACATAACGTCCCAGTGGCTTTTAAACCCCAAAATACATTACGGCAAAGACTGGTTCATCCCAAAGATCCAGTCCCCCGGCACAAACAGAGTAATGTTGTGTATGCTGTTCAGTGTCAGGAGGGCTGTGATCAGTCTTACATCGGGGAAACAAAACAGCCACTGGCCAAAAGGATGGCCCAGCACAGAAGATCAACATCATCAGGCCAGGACTCTGCAGTCTACACTCATCTCCAGGCCAGCGGTCACTCTTTCAGGGATGAAGATGTGCACATCCTGGACAGAGAGGAACGATGGTTTGAGAGAGGAGTAAAGGAGGCCATCTTTGTGAAAAGAAACCGTCCATCATTAAACAGGGGTGGAGGCCTACGTGTTCAATTGTCCCCCTCTTACAATGCTGTGATTGCTAGTATCACTCAGCCCTCTGTGAACAGTAAA